GGTGCCTATGCAGGCTGCGGTCGTACTAAAGTATGGATCGGAGGCTTCACGCGCAAGATGCTCGCCACTGCCATGACGCTGTTCGCCAACTCGGTCCAGATCGCCCTACCCACACACGAGAGGAGCCTGGTACAGATCAAGGCGTACAACCTGAACAAGAGTTCCTCTATGAAGTTCAGCTCGGTCGAGCAGGCCGGCGAGATCGTCCAGCGCTCGCGGGACAACCCCAAGATGATGACGTACGCCGATCCCGTCACGAACGAGCAGGTCCGCCTGCGTGCTCGGCTCGATGCCCCTCATGTTGTACGCGTTCGCAACAAGGCTCTGGGCTCGCTGTGGCAATCCACAATCTCAGTCATGAGAGACAAAGGCACGTGGACGGACAAGATGATGCTCGGGACCAACGGGATCAGAGGCGTTCTCTTCCTCATCGACGGTGAATCGGTGCAGGACCTGTACATCGTCAGCGGGGATTCCTCCGACGGCGTTATCATCGCCCCCGACCTATCAGCGCTCGCGAAGGTAGGGTTCACCGAGGCCGACGTGTCGACCGCCTCCGACATCGCCAAGAGCATCAAACGCTAGGAAATTGCCGCGCTGCATGAGCTGGACGTGAGTGAAGCCAGCGCTCATTTTTGCATGTGCACGGCTGCAGCTGCCTCGTCGTTTGTCCTCCTCTCCTCCCCTCGCCCTCCGTTGTGTGCTGCGTGTTCGTCCTCGTCTTCTTCCTGCTCTTCCCCTTCTTCCGGCTCGCCGCGTTCGATTTCGCCGTCCCCGAGCATTTCGCGCGCCCCGCCTTCTTCTATTTCCTGCTGTCCATGCCGAACAACCGAAAGGTTATTCATGGTTACTTGGAACGCTAATACCTTGTTCGCCTCGGCGTATGATGGTCGCACTCGTCAGACTCGCGCGGTGAAACTGTTCGACAGATTGCTGAAACAAGTCGACCTCGTTCGCATCCAGGGATACCATGGGCAGCAGGAAGAACCCAACCCGTCTCTGCGTGAGCGCGATGGCGCTCGTGCGTGCGGTGTTTGCAGCTCCTCATTCTCAGCTGGCGGCTACGTTTTCCCCATCTCCTCGTCTCTCAGCAAGCACTTCGCGATTTCCGCCCATCGTGCTGACTCACCGTTCGTTCGCCACTTTCAAGTTGTTCTGGGCAGCCTGGTTGAGGTACAGCAGATGCAGCACCCGCGCCTCGGCCACAGAGGAGACCTGAAATCCCTGGGAAGGCAGGACCGTACTTTCGTGAACAGGTTTTCCGCTCGCATCCTGGACCTGAACCCTCGGTGTTGTTCGCTCGGTTCCGCCTTTGACCCCTTGGACCCCTCGGACCTTGTCTCCGTCGCCGTTATCCTGGTTGCCGCGTCGCCTCCCGAGGTCCCTTGGTTCCCGAGGCTGGTTACTGAGGACCCGCTCTTCCCTCAGCATGTGGCCGAAGTGATCGAGGAGATAGGTGAAGCTGGCCTCTCCCAGGGTATCCATCAGCCTGCGCCTGAATTCAAAGGTATCTTTCGTGTCGATGATCGGCGCGTTATCAAGCCGTTCATGCAGCCTGTGCCTCGCGTCGTGGCCTGGAAACCCGAGGAGCCCGAATTCGAGGAAATGTTTCGTCGACTTCACGACGCAGGTTCTGGCCCAGAGGATCCGCCTTACTCGGAGCGGGCCTGTGCAGGTCCAACTGCTATCCAAGAGTTTGTTGGGCTTTACGTCGACATCGTCAATTTCGGAAAGCTCCCCGACAGCTACCTTTACTCCCTGGGCGTCTTCTTCCTCAAAGGTGCCCCTGGTTCCGTTGTCGAAAGCGCCCAGCGTCTCTCCGAAGTCACCCGCCCCCTCTGCCTCAGCAACACCGTCTGCAGAATCATTGCCATCGACATCGATCGCCCCGTCAGTCTTCTCTGTCAGGAAGTACGCCACGAGTTCCAGCGTGACGTTATCCTCGGAAATGATATGCTGACCATTATTCCCAAATTGGCAACTCGAGCGATTTTGTGGTGGTGCCGGTTAGGTGCAGACAGGTTGGGATACAACCTTTTTGGCATTCGCACCACGCTCTTTCCGGTGCTGAACGTATCCATGGTCTGTATCAAGAAGACCACGCGCTTACTTACCGCAAGTGCATCCCGCGCCAGGTTCATTCTGATGGAAAAGGAGGGAGGGTGCCGAGATACGCTGCTGGTCACGCGTACGCCCGCAATGTTCCGCCTGTCCACGATGCAGCAACTCAAGAAACATCGGAAGCGCTTCTCTGAGACTCCGCGGGCACACCAATTCGGAGATGAGCAGCTGCAGCGAAAAACTGATCTTCCTTGGCAATGCTGTGTTTGCAAATCTTGCCGCCCCACTCGCTGTCAGGATCAGATTTTTCACTCCCTCGGCCAGCGAGGTCGACTCTGATGGCCTAACCTTGTGCACCCGCCGCCTGTTTTTGCTTGCTCCGCCATTCGTTTTTCCCATCTCCCTGCTCTCTGTCTTGCTGCCGCTCGCTTTTGCTCCTTTCTTTGTCTCGGTACTTCATGTTTGCCACACGATGAAAGCTCGTAGTGTGCTCGGGGAGTGTGACACGTACAGGCCGATCAGTGCGAGGTTACGTAGTACTGTGAGGCGTGACGGTCGCCTCCAAAGGGTGCAACGTCAGCCTGGGCAGCCGCTGCTGACCATCGGACTCTCTTTCTTCTCTCTCGTTCTTGCCCTCGTCTCGCGCCTTGTCCGCTCTTCGTCTTCTCTCTCTTGGGGGCCGTGTCCTCCTCCTCCTCCTCCTCCTCCTCCTCCTCCTCCTCCTCCTCCTCCTCCTCCCCTCGAGCCTCATCATCCTTGTCATCGTCGCCGTCCTCCTCCCTCGTCCTCCTCCTCCCTCGTCCTCCTCATCCCTCGTCCTCATTCCTCGTCCTCCTCATCCCTCGTCCTCCTTCCTCGTCCTCCTCATTCCTCGTCCTCCTCCTCCTCCTCCTCCTCCTCCTCGTCCTCCTCCCCCTCCTCATCCCCCCTCGTTCTCATTAGCCCGCCTCTCCTCCTCGTCCTCGTGGAATCGCCTCCTCGAGTGCTCCTCGTCCTCGCGTCTCCCCCCCCCCCGCCAGGTTCGCTCGTCCGCGAAGGGGTCCGAGGATCGCCTCAAGGCGTTCCGCACCCTGGTCGCCCTCATTCGCCAGGCCCCGGGCCGCTGGTGACCCGAGAGGAGAGGGGGATGGAGGGGAAGGCGGCTCGAGACAAGAGAAGGAGCGAGCCGAGGGCGTCGCAGCCGCCCGCGGCAGAGATAGAGCGAGCACGAGCCAGGAGGGGCAAGTCCAGCCCTCCTCCTGGGGGGGGGCTCCTCCCTGGCATCGCGCGGACGCGTGCATGTCATCCCTCGGCCAGGAAATGTCGAGGGGCATCTTGGGCCATCGCGCGAACACAAGCGCGCGAGGCCGAGCAGAAAGGCACTGGGAAGGGACGCCCGAGCGGTGGGCGAGGCGAGGTGCACCGCTCCCGGCCTGCCCCCCCCACGGGCGGGGCGGCGGGCGGCCTCGCCCTTCCCGGTGAGGCAGGGCCGTGCACGGTGCCGCCGTGGCCGCGCCGGGAGCCTCCCCGTGCGGTCCAGCTCGGCGACCACTGGGCGGGAGACGGCGCCGAGGGCCGCCGATGGTGGGCCGACTTTTCTCGGCACGTGGTTCCTGTCAGATTCTTCGAAGGTTCCTTGATTTCTTTGGGGGCCAGGATCCTTCCATTTCTGATTGTTTTATCCTGGGTCTCTTCCTGGCCACTGGGGGGCCAGGAACATTTAGAAACGAGCACACTTAGAAATGAGCACGATTAGAACTGAACGACGTGTAGGCCTCCTAGATAGGGGTCGGAGTGGGTGGGGTCGGAGGATCGTGCCGCGTCGACGATGCATCGGCGATGCGGCTCGATGTGGAGCCCGAGTTGCTTCACGTCGGCGTCGCCGATGCATCGCCCAAACATCGCCGATGCATCGCCGATGCATCGCCCGAGTCGACGACGCATCGCCAGTGCATCGCCGATGCATCGCCGATACATCGCCGATGCATCGCCGATGCATCGGCGATGTGGCGCGATCCTCCGACCCCATCTACTCCGACCCCATCTCGGAGGCCTCTATTTTCGCCACCACTACCATAGGTAGGAGAGGGAGGAGGAGGAGAAGGAGGAAGGGGAGGAGGAGGAGGAGGAGGAGGAGGAGGAGGAGGAGGAGGAGGAGGACCAGTGTAAACCCAAGGTTCATTAACGATGTTGCAATAAACCCTCCCTCCAAGCTCCCTCTTCACAGGCCCCTACAACGGTTCATTTCTTCTGAAGGAACTGCCTCTTTAGAAGACAACCGTTTGAAGACCCCGAAGCATGCTAAAATATTGTTTTCGGGATTCCAACGCCACGGATCAACCTGACTGTTGCGTCTTGACAATCCTGACTCGTGCCAGAAACCATTTTTTGACTTCAACACAGCGAATCGACATAACTGTTGACCCGCTAAATCCTGAATCATTTCGACACCATTTCTGGCACGCTGATGATGGGAATCCGCGAAACTCTGCCAAATTATTAAAGCGAATGTGTGCCGCGCTAAGGCGAGAGCCACATTTTGAAAGCCACCCGCCCTCAATCAGTGAAGCTCCTTACAGATGCTTAAAACAAATGTGCGCCGCTCTAAGGCCAGAGCCACATTTTGAAAACCACCCGCGCCCAATCCGTGAAACTCTTGCAGATGTTTAGAACGAATGTGCGCCGCGCTGAGGCGAGAGCCACATTTTGAAAACCACCCGCGCCCAATCCGTGAAAATCTTACAAATTGTGAAAACGAATGTGCGCCGCTCTAAGGCGAGAGTCACATTTTGAGAACCACCCGCCCTCAATCCGTGAAGCTCTTGCAAATTATTAACAAGAATGTGCGCCGCTCTATGGCGAGAACCACATTTTGAACACGAACCCCCCTCCATCTGTGAAATTGTTGTCAATTTGTAAGCGTCAGAGTTATGAATGGTGAGGATATTTCGCGAAACGCCCGGCCCGCCCTAAATATTGGCCTTGGGGTACGACAGGGAATGGCTATTTATAAGGAAAAGAAGAGGAGGAGGAGGAGGAGGAGGAGGAGGAGGAGCAGGAGGAGGAGGAGGAGGAGGCGGAGGAGGAGGAGGAGGAGGAGGAGGAGGACGACGAGGCGGACCTCTCCAGCCTCCACCGTCCCACCTATGGCAGCGGTGGTGGCTGCGGCGGCGGCCGCCCCGCGGGGGGGGCGGGCACCACGGGCCTTGTGGGGCGCGCGGCCAGGACGGCGGGAGAGGGGGTGGGGAGCTCGACCTCCCCCAGACACATCTCGGCGGCGGGCGAGGGGGGGGGAAGTGAGAAGGAGAAGGCCTTCTCAGAAGGCTCAGAAGTCCCCCGGCCTTCTGAGAGATTTCCTAAGCCTTCTCCTCGAAGGCAGGCAACAACTTCTCAGATGGCGCGAGGGCTTCTACAGGCCTGGGGGAAGTCGGGCATGCCCCTCTACAGGACGAATCTATCCAAGAAGAGTAGGGAGATAGTCAGGGGACGATTTTTCGTCTTCTCTGGTCTCGTTCTGATGACTCCAGACTATTCTTCATCATTCTTCCAAAATCCGCCCGTGGGAGAACATGCCCGGCCTAAGCTTGGGGCGCGCGGCCAGGACGGTGGAGGCCAGACTCGCGAGATCACCAGGGGGTGGGGGGCTCGAGCTCCCCCAGACACGCCAGCCCTCGCACCTAGAAGGCCACCTGCCCAGACATGCGACGTCTTGATTTTTTCAGGACGGCGTCCCTGGAAGTCCCGACCCTTTCCCCAGGACCGGTTTTTCGTCCTGAGTCGTTCTTTGACGCTCCCGGGGGCCGGCGAGGGCCCCCGAGGCCGAAAATAGCCAAAAACCTCCGGTCCTGATTTTTTTACGACGCGAGCATGTCTGGGTGGGAAGCCTGTGATCCACAATATCCTGCGTTCCTGTGGTCTCGGTCCGGGCCCAGCCGCGGCTGGGTGGTACGACCGGGCCAGCTCTCGGGGCGCCTCCCCAGGCGGAGGCACCGCCTCGGCGAAGGCCCCGCCTCCCCGGTGAGGGCTCCGCTCCCCAGCGATCACGCCAGCGCCAGATCCGCCAAGGATTTTGGTGACGCGCAGACAGTGAGCAGCAAGCGGCAAGCCGGCCTTCTGAGAAGTTTTCTAAGCCTTTCCCGAAAACAGAAACAACCTCTCAGAAGGCGCGAGGGCTTCTGAGAAGTCCCGCCGCCTTCTGAGAAGGCCTTCTCCTTCTCACTCCCCCCCTCGCTCGCCGCCAAGAATGGTCGCTCAGGGTCCTGGGGGCCTCTGGAGGAGGAGGAAGAGGAGGAGGAGGAGGAGGAGGAGGAGGAGGAGGAAGGACCGCCCGAGACCGAGCCGAGAGAGGACGGGGAGGGGCCCGCCCCACGGGCCGGGCCCGCCTCTCCCTTCCCGGGGCGGCCCCAGGCAGACCCTCCGAGTCCTTCGAGCCCCGATCGGCCATGAGAACATCCTTCAGGAGGGGAAAAAACACACAGACACAACTAATCGTCGATTCCCAGGAAAGTATGGGAAAATATGGGGACTATTTTTGTTTGTGTGTATTTATTTGTGTGTCCCAATTTCCCTTTAATCCTGTCGCCCAGCAGGGCCGGACCTGAACGGTGTTTTGGCGATTTCGTTTGCCGTTTTCGTTTCGACTTCGTTTTGAGGTGGAGGTGGACTGAAGACAGAACGAAGGAACACGAAAGCAAAACGAAAACGAAAGGCACCGGTTAGGTCCAGCCCTGTCGCCCAACCCAGTGCCCAACCTCCCGCCCCAGGAGCTTCAGTCCTTTGGGTTGTCTGGTAGCTTGTTTGCCACAGTGGTGCAGCCCAGCGCCGCGCTTGGCAAGGGCATCGGCGATGGCGTCAGCCTTGCGAGTCCAAGCCTCAACCTTACCCCAAAAATCATCAGCCTCCGAGGTGTGAGCTTTGACTTTGTGCAAGGTCAATCCTTCCGACCACATGTGAGCCTGAGCCGAGCGAGCACATATCGCTCTGGGACGGGAGCGCGCAGCGATCTACGTGCCGACACAAACGGTCCGAGCACCTTCGATGTTGAACGCGGTCTAATTGAGCATAAGATGAAAATAGTCCTCACCATCACGAGCATACTGGAGGGGGACGAAGTCCCACGGGACGGGGCCGAAGACTCCAGCAACCGTCGAACCCGACTCGCCGACTATCACAACAGACCATCCCGCCCTGCGAAGGTGCGGGTCCGTGGGATTCAGCGCCGGCCCGTGGGGTGCCTTTGGCGCCCTCGTAGGGCTTTGATTATATGGCGGCGTACCCGACTTTTTTGTTTTCCGGCAGCCAAGACTATGGCTTCATGTCGTTGTGCATTCGGTGTGTGTGTGTGTGTTTGTGTGTGTGTGTTCCCGTGTGGCCCTCGTGGGGCCATCTTGGAGGCCATCGATGAAAGGGGGGTTCTGAAGGACGTGGTGGGGGCCTTGTCAAAGAGCCTGCGTGGAAGGGAGGAGGGCCTAGCAAGCTCCTTGCTTCGGTGAGGCGGCAGTGATGCTCCACGACCTACCGCTTGCCACTCGCAAGCTGCGATCCCTTGGCTTCTTTTCCCGTTGAGTAGTATGCTGGCCTGTGGCCCATTCTGCCAACGTGCCTTGCCGGCCCGGCTACTGAGAGATAAGCTTGTTTGGCATCCAGGGGATCTCCAGGGGGGAGTAGGTGGGACTTTCCTGTTGAGTCGTGGGGTCGTCGTCGTCGAGAGAGGTCCTGGGCATCTGGCCCGGTGCACCATCAGGATCTGAGACCCAGGTGACTGAACAGCAGTAGTTACAACATGTTTCAGCAGTTTCGGCATCGGGAGGCTTGCGCGGAGCTCCCGAGGGGTGCCCAAGAGTGCCCCAAGAGTGTCCGATAGTAGCGCCCAGGAGCGCTCGAGATTTGTGGCAAATTGGGCGCATTTGTTTGTTATTGATTTCTTGTGAGGAGGAGGAGGAGGTGGAGGAGGAGGTGGAGGAGGAGGGGGAGGAGGAGGCGGAGGAGGAGGAGGAGGGGGCATCTTGGGAGCCTCTGGGGGCCTCCTGGGAGCTCCCTGGGAGCCTCTTAAAGGCATCTTGGGGGCCTCCTTGTGCCTCTTGGGTGCCTTTGGGGGCTTCTCGGGGGCCTTTTTGGCCGTCTATTCCTGGCCCGCCGATTCCGTCGGAAGCCGTCTTGGGGGCCTCTCTGGGCCAACTTGAAACCCTCTTGGGGGCCTTTTGGGGCTTCTCTGGGCCTCTTTGGCCGTCTATTCCTGGCCCGCCGATTCCGTCGGAAGCCGTCTTGGGGGCCTCTCTGGGCCGACTTGAAACCCTCTTGGGGTGCTCCAGGGCCTTCTTGGATTGCATCTTGGGCGTCTTGGAGGCTTCTTGGGCTTTCTGGGGGCCCTCTTAGGGGCCGTCTTGGGAGCCTCTTGGGCCGTTCTGGGACCGTCCTGGAGGTCCCTTGGACGATCTTCGGGGCGCCGTCGGAAGGCCGAACAGAAGCATATGTCAAAGTCCTTCAAAGACCTACGGGAAATCAACGATTTCGGCCTGTTCGGGCCTTCTGGAGGCTCTTATGGAGGCCTCTTGGGCCGTCTTGGAGGCCTCTTGTGAGCCTCTTGGGCCGTCTTGGGCCAACTTCTAGGGAGGCATCTTGGGGCTATCTTGGCCGTCCTGGAGAGCATCTTGGCCGTCTTGGAGGCATCTTGGCGGCCATCTTGGGCCATGGTGGCCGTCCCGGGGGATATTTTGTCGGCAAATTTGGCGCCTTCCGGTCCCTTCTGGGTGGCTGGCGGGCTGGGCCGGAGCCCCAGGGGAGAGTTCTTGTGGACAAAGAACCAACACCAAAAACGGTAGCGTCTAGCACGCCGGGCACCCCTGTGGCAAGACCACAAGGGGGCGGCAGACACTACTGGCCTTCGGCCCATCCCGCCACCGTGCCTGCGCCTCTTGGAGCGCTCTTTGGGCCTCTTGGGGCAATCTTGGGCCGTCTTGGAACCATCTTCGGGCACCTAGAAGTACTCTTGGCATTGGCAATGCGAATATTTTGAAATTTGCGAGGGTGCGTGGCCTCGGGGATGCAATACTAATATAATTTGCATGGGTTTGTGGCCCCGGGGACGCGAATATTTTGTAATTGACAAAGGGTTATGGCTTCGGGGGCGCGAGTATGTGGTAATTTGCACAAGAAGGTTTGATGCCTCGGGAGCGCACAAGTTGTACAATTTGCTAGGGTGCGTGGCTTTGGGGACGCGAACCTTGTGTAGCTTACTAGGGATTCTGGCTTCGCGGTCGCGGAACCCACGTACTTTCACATGTCCCACGACTTCCCAGGAATTCAGGCAATGCGATTTGGGGGTGGCAGAAGTGCTGGTTTCGGGCTCCTCCCCCGCGGGGACTTCAACAATCTACAGTAGGAAGCATAAAACAGGATTGTACCATTGGAGCCTTGCAACTGCAACTGGCACAGGGATTAGCAACCTAATCCTACAGCCTGGTGGTCCCACAAGGGGGCTGGCGGATTTGGACATATAGATTTCTACGATACCTCTAGTACTCAAGAGAGCAAGCGCATTGGGCGATTCCAGCAAGTGCTCAAGGGATGGCGGAAAGTCATTACACGATTGCGCTGTAGAGAGAGAGAGAGAAATCGAGATTGAGGGGATTGGGAAGAAGTTGGCATGATACACGTCCTTTAGACATCTCTGAGGTTACCGAATACGAGGACGAGTTCATCAGGAATAACAATGGCGTAGCTCTCATAGTGGACTGCATGAACGAAGAGGATGACCTCAGTCCATGCCCGCAGTCTCTCAACCGCATCCTAGAGAACCTCGCTTTGCCCTACTCCCCCCTGGCCTCCACCTTCCGACCCCTCCTTAGGTTTCTCCGAAAGAGCGCTTTCTGACGCTGCTGGCGGGGGGGATTTTTCACCCCGCCCGCCCCATCCCCCAAGAAAAAGGGGGGAGTCGACGGCGACCGCGACGACGGCGACGGAGACGACGACGACGACGACGACGACGCCGACGACGACGACGACGACGACGACGACGGGGACCGCGCCGACGACGACGACGGCGGCGGCGGCGGCGGCGGCGGCGTGGGGTGTTGGTTCTCCCCCCCCCCCCCCCGTTCTTGCGCGCTGCGGGGGGTGGGGCCCCGACCTCCCCGCTCTTGGGAAGAAGGAGGGGGGGTCGAGGAGGAGGAGCAGGAGGAGGAGGAGGAGGAGGAGGAAGAGGAGGAGGAGGAGGAGGAGGAAGAGGAGGAGGAGGAGGAGGAGGAGGAGGAGGAGGAGGTGCATAGATCTCGTCACCCTGCCGCCAGTGCCCGCACGGCAGCCGTTTTTCCCCAGGGGCCCCCGCCCGCTGACCCCCCCACGGTTTTCGAGGCCGCCCCTGTGGATTTTTGAACGGAAGGTCTGGCTTCTGAAACCCTTTTGTGGATGTTTTTCGGGCCACCGACGGTGGATCGCGCTCCCTCGTTGCTCCTTTCTCGCCCCATCGCCTCGCCCCGTCCGCCTCCCTCTCTCTTCCATGCACCACTTCTGCTTCTTCCCTCCCTTCGCCACTCCTCTGCCCTCTCCTCCCTTCTTCCCTCTCCTTTACCCTCCTTTCTGTTCCGTCCACCTCTGCTTCTCCCCTTCCTTCTCCTTGCCCTTCCTTCTCCGCCGTCTCGCTTTCCCACGTGTTTTATGTCTTGCCAGTCGTTTCTCGTCTCTGCATGATTCCGGCGCTCGTGCCTCATTTCTCGTCTCTGGTTTGACGCTTGTCAGTTTGAATTCCCGAGGCGGGCCAACCATTTTCCACAAGGAGGCATCAGAAAACAAGACGAGGTCTTCGTCTCGACCTTCGGCTCAGATGTTTTGCGGTCGGCGCTGCAAGCTCCTCGGCAGGGTCAGCACGCGGCGCACGTCACGCGCGAGCGAGCGATCCGCTGCGTTCGCTGGGTCGCCGTGCAGATGTTATCCGTAAGGGCTTCGCCCCCTGCCGCTGCCCCCTCTCTCGGAGAATGGGCCATGGAAGAGCGAAGGCATGAGGCTTTGGCTTCACCGTGAAGCAGCGTCGGAACTTCATGCGAAGAGGATGGGTAACTGGCAAGACGAATGGAGATTGCGAGTCTATTATTGTACTCGCTTTTGTGTGAATTTCAGAAATGTGGCAAATCCCATGTGTTTTTGGACCCTGACCCCGCCGATCTGCGTGAGGGGTGCCACCGAATGTCAGAAATGTGGCAAATCCCTTTTATTTTTGGCCCCTGACCCTGCCGATCTGCGTGAGGGGTGCCACCGAATTTCAGAAGTGTAGCAAATCCTGTGTGTTTTTGGATCCTGATCCTGCCGATCTGCGTGAGGGATGCCACCGAATGTCAGAAATGTAGCAAATCCCCTTATGTTTTTAAACCCTGACCCCGCCGATCTGCGTGAGGGGTGCTACCGAATTTAAGGATGTGGCAAATCGCTTGTGTTTTTGGACCCTGACCCCGCCGATCTGCGCGATGCCGATTTGCATGAGGGGTGCCACCCACCGAATGTCAGAAGTGTGGCAAATCCTGTTTGTTTTTGGACCCTGACCCCGCTGATCTGCGTGAGGGGTGCCACCGAATATCAGAAATTTAACAAATCTCTAATGTTTTGGGACCCTGACCCCGCCGATCTGCGTGAGGGGTGCCACCGAATGTCAGAAATGTGGCAGATCCTGTGTGTTTTTGGACCCTGACCCCGCTGATCTGCGTGAGGGGTGCCACCGAATATCAGAAATGTAACAAATCTCCAATGTTTT